ATTATTGTAAATAATTAATAAATAATATTAATGTATAACGTATAATTAAAATTAATTTTCAATTTATATTAATTAATATTAGTAATATTTAATATTTCTAATATTTATTTGTAATTAATAATTAATATTAACGAAGGTCATAATTGAAAAAAAATGTCAATAAGCTTCTAAAACGTTACTCCAAGTAGCGTTTCAATAAGCTAGCTTATAAGTAGGGCTGACAAAGGGTAAGAGTAGGTCAGTTACCAGTTATGTTAATAAGGGTACTGTTGGTCCCGAATGAGATGACAACAAACAGGAAATAATTGTAGAAAGGGGGGTTGAATACAATTACTCATATTTTTTTTTAAAATTTTTTAATTCTTATTGATGAGTATCAAGAATTAACACATAGATACAATACAGATTGTTGCGGAAGATGGAAAAGATAACCTAACCTAAATAATCTTAAACATAGAGTACTTGTAAGAAAATGAAGAACACTAAGTTTTTCTTCACACACAAGAGAGTAGAAGAGTAGTAGAAGAGAGTTGATTGCCTTGAGAATACACTTAAAAATATTTTCAGGCAAGCGTAATTTAAATGGGAGATGCACTCTGCCTTTTATACTAACTTCATACATTAAATGCATGAGGACACTTGTTACCTTAGGATGAGAAGATAGTGATTGACTTGACCATATTTGATATATCATTTTCATCGTACTCTGCATGCACACAACATTGTTCATGTAAAGACAAACCTACTGATAAAAAATATCTTTATCAGATACAAGTTTTGCAAAGATATGGTCAGTCTGTAGAGAAATCAACTTTGGATGGATTAGTAGCTTCAAACAGCTACTTACGAATCTTGGTGCATGAAGATCTTCCTTCAATCAACTAGTAGCTTCAAAACACCTCCAATCTTCAAATCAACTAATTTGGAGTCTTTGTGTGTAATTTTGACAATTGATTCATAGTACTGGATCAATGATCTTTTGTCTTCACATCGGCTAGTTTTCGATTTTACCAAGGGCTTTAAGTATGTATCAATAAACCAATATACAAAAAAAACCAATAACTATTAAGTGTTGATAGGATAATGGAACAGATCAATGAGTTATCACCAAATCAATAGGTAACCCAATAAGTATGGATAAAGAAAATTTTATCCACCTATCATTTACTTGTTTACTCGACATTTTAATGGGTAGGTTATGGATAAAGTATTCTTCCTTATCCATTTATCCTTTACCCGTTTATATATACACGTGCGCACACACATATATACGTACATATAATTATGTAACATTAAATATTACAATATTTTTTAAAAATATTATCTTAAATGTTGCATAACGTATATTAACTGGTATTTAATTTTCTTTTCATATTCATCAGCTAAAAGAGTTAATTAGAATAATAAAATGAAAAGCAATATGAGGTCGCTAAAATAAATATAACATACATAAATGTTCTCTTTAGATTTGTATATTGTTGTGTAAAATATCACATTATAACATATTTAAAACAATATCACAATGTTTATTGGAACAAATTAGATATAAAATAAAGATTATTATATTTATATGAATTTTTATTTTACTTGTATGTTGATGTTCAACAATATTATTGTAGTTCAAAATCATTCTTTTACCATTTATTCACTACCCGTTTCGTTACCCACTATCTTAATGGATAAGATATGGATAATTACTCGTTTTATTACTTATTATTTTAAATGGATTAGATAACGAATTAACCGTTACCCTACCCATTACCTGTACTACTTATAAGCTAAATACTGTTTCCAAAACGTATAACTAAGGGGGTGTTTGGGATTGTTTATTTGAAATAATTTATGTCTTTTTTTATAAAAACACTTATCAACTTATCATAAGTCGGAAGGGTTTAACTTCTTTAAAAACTCTTTATTACCGGTTTGATAGTTTATAAATTATTTATCCAAACACTAAAAAAAAAATGCGTATTCCTGGTGTCACCTCATGGTCACCTCATGATGTCGGGTTACATTCTACCCTCATGTTCATCTACTACAATCAACGACCTGTTAATCCATTGCGACCCTCAACGATTCTTCCAAATTAATTTGTTTCTTTTGCGTTCGTCGATCTCTCTTGCCCTAATAAATGGATTTAGTTGATGCTTTCTGGATGACAATGTCAAAATTTTCTTCTTGAAACATCAAGGATCTTATTTAATGAGTGAAAAGTTTCTGTTGCAACAAAATCAAATTTGAAAGAGAAGCCGACTAGGAACTCCGTTATTTTCTCTTTGTACGATTTTGATGATTACCCGCCAATTGATTTTCAAATGCTTTGACACCATAAGTTCACTAGATGGGCACCAACTGTTCGTTAAAATTCCGCAACCAAACCTCGGCTCTCTCCACCACTCCATGCTTAATCTTTTGCACCAAAACCTTCCATTTCAGGCTCTTGATATATTCAATACACGGATTCAGGAAGTGGGTGTAACTCATGTTGATGAAGTTTCGACTGCTCTTGCTATCAAGGCATGTCGTGGAGACCCGAAACTTGGTTGTCAAATTCATGGGTTTGCATTGACGTCTGGTCTTGATTCATTCTTATCCGTCTCTAATTCTTTGATGCACATGTACTCTAAATCCGGGCAGCTTGATCGTGCTTTGGTTATTTTCGAGAATTTGACTAACCCAGATACTGTTTCTTGGAACACCTTGCTCTCTGGGTGTAAGAACAGTAATGCTGCGCTGAGTTTTGCTTGTCGAATGAATAACATAGGGGTTACGTTTGATGCAGTGACTTATACTACTGCATTGGCACATTGTGCTGACTCTGAAGAATTTCTGTTTGGAATTCAGTTGCACTCTCTTGTGCTGAAAACAGGAATGCAGTGTGAAGGCTTTATTGCAAATGCACTTATAACATTATACTCGAAATGGGAATGTATAGTTGAAGCAGAAAGGGTGTTCGATGAAATGCCCAGCAAGGATTTAGTCTCATGGAATGCTATGCTTTCAGGTTATAGTCAAGAAGGAAGTCATGGAATAGAAGCAACTTCAGCTTTTATTGATATGATTAGATTAGGAATGAAGCTTGATCATGTTTCATTTACAAGTGCAATTTCAGCTTGTGGGCATGCTAGAAACTTGGATCTCGGGAAACAGATACATAGTTTGGCCATTAAAAGGGGATATGGAACACATGAATCGGTCTGCAACGTGTTGATTTCTACGTATTCAAAATGTAACCATATCGAAGATGCAAAATTGGTTTTTGAGGGCATGGCGCATCGCAATGTAGTATCTTGGACTACCATGCTTTCTATAAGTGACGAGAATGCTGTATCTCTATTCAATGAAATGAGAAAGGATGGTGTTTCTCCAAATGAGGTTACATTTGTTGGCTTGATTCATGCCATTTGTGCCAATAATCAGGTGAAAGAAGGGTCAACAGTTCACGGATTATGCATAAAGTCTAGCTTTTTTTCAGAGCTAGTGGTTGCCAACAGCTTCATTACCATGTATGCTAAGTTTGAGTCCATGAAAGATTCCATCAATGTCTTTGAAGAGATGGTACACAGGGTGATCATTTCATGGAATGCCTTAATTTCAGGGTTCACTCAGAACAAGATGTTTCAAGAAGCTTTAAGGACATTCTCTACCACAATCATGGAGTCAAAACCAAATGAATACACATTCGGCAGTGTGTTGAGTGCAATTGCATCTTCTGAATCTATCTCATTGAGGTATGGACAATGGTGCCATTCGTATCTTGCTAAACTCGGCTTAAACAAAGATCCAATTGTTTCTGGAGCTCTTCTTGATATGTATGCAAAACGAGGAAGCATTAACGAATCTTGTAAAGTGTTTGCTGAGATCAAGGAAAAGAACCAAGTGGCATGGACCGCAATCATATCCGCTCATTCAAGACACGGAGATTATGAATCTGTCATGAGCTTGTATCAAGAAATGGAGAATCAGTTTTTTGAACCTGACTCCATAACTTTTCTTTCTGTATTAACTGCATGCGGAAGAAAGGGAATGGTGGAAAAGGGCAGAGAGGTGTTCGAGTCAATGGTCAAAGTCCATGGAATCGAGCCATCCCCAGAACATTATTCTTGCATAGTGGACATGTATGGCCGAGCAGGGCGGCTGAAGGAGGCAGAGGACTTTCTGAGCCAGATCCCAGGTGGGGTTGGGCTGCCAGTGTTGCAAAGCTTGTTAGGATCATGTAAAGTCCATGGAAACATGGAGATGGGAAAACGGGTTTCTGATGCTTTGTTGAAGATGGAGCCTAAAGAATCAGGTTCGTATGTGCTGATGTCGAATCTTTACGCAGAAAGAGGGGATTGGGATGAAGTTGCAAAGATAAGGAAAGGGATGAGGGATAAGAAGGTGAAGAAAGTTGTGGGGTTCAGTTGGGTCGACGTTAATAACGTCAAAGGGTCGGTACACGGGTTTTCTTCAGACGATATGTCTCATCCACAGACCGAGGAGATTTTTCGGATGGCGCGGTTTCTCGGAACGGAAATGAAGTCTGTAAAGAGGGAAGATACTATGGAGCAAGTTTAAGTTTTAGAGATCAGCTTGACTTATGAGTATGAACAGAAATTTCTACAGACATTATAGATATGATTCATGAAATGATATAAGAAGGTTGAGAGATGATGAAAATGATAGTTGAGGACTAAATTTGTAACTCAACCTATACTTGGTGGACCAATCCTGGAATATAAAGGAAAAATGTGGACTCAACTCAATTATACTATGATTTAGGGGCTGTTTGGTAATTGCTGAATGGTTTGGTGCAGAATGATTAAGTGATTAGAATGATTAAATGATCAGAATGATTAAGAGACTCTCATGATATAGTGCAAAATGAAATATAATTGTTTGGTAATTGTATACAATGAAATAAGGGCTCTTAATGGTTAAGGGAGATCCAGGATACAAAATCATTCAGAGGATTTTAAAACCATTAAGAGGCAGACTTTTATTTTACCAAACAAGATTCACCTCTTAACGATTCAGATATTACCTCTTAATGGAACTATTAAGAGGTAAACAAACAACCCCTTAGTAAGATCATTTTTAAGGGTTCTAAAAAAACAAATCCAAATAGCTTAATGAAATTTAGGTTATCTGGTTTTTGGCTTAAATGGTTAGATAAACCGATTAAAGATTGTTATTCGATTATGTTTTTAGTAATTTTTTCTACTAATTTGATTAAACTAAATTAACCGAATAACACCTTATGCTAATATTTCATTTTTTTTTCTATATAAATAAATTAAATAACACATTATAGTATTTATTATTTTATAAAAAATGGAATAAGAAAACGTGTTTCCAGAACGAACAAGATACGGGTTGAGAAGGATGCGGGGACCCCATCAGCGAATAATTGTTATGTTTTTCGGGAAATCCTATTTTAGATTTGATAGAATTGCCTTCCAACCAGGTGTTAGTGAAAGCAGACATATTATCTTGAACGAAACTAGTATTTAACGTTTATTCAATTGTTGAGTGAAATAAACATTCCATTTGGAAAAATTGTTGGAAAAAATGAAATAAAAAATATGAACTCTTATTTGATTTTTTCAGTTATTGAACTGAATAATTTAAAACTTATTAAATCAAACATTACTTGGTTTGGGTATCGATTATTTTAACAGCAAATTGTATCTTCAGAGTAAACCAAAACGTTGATAAGTAGATGTTGCTTTATTTTTTTTATAATATACTTTTAAAAGTGATTTACTTTATTTTTTTTATTATTTTGAAAAATTAAATTAGTAATAAATAAATAAAATGTGAAGTATTTAATAAACACATGTTGATTAAAATAAACACGAATTAAAGGTTACCTAATCAAATATATAACAACTAATAATTTCAATTAACAATTAATAATATTACTTTATTTTTTTTTGTTTTTTTATTAACCTGGATATCCAACCCGCTATGCGAGCCGACTAATCCCAGGGCGACCACTGGCTTTGCAGATAGCCCGGAGTCACCGCATTTAAACCTCCGTGGCCACAAGAGGTTTTTTATTCCTCATTGGATTTAAACTTGAAACCTCCTGGTACTTTTAACAATTAATAATATTACTTTATTTTCATAATTATCATACTAAAACCCTAGAGATTGTAGTTGATTTTTGTATTTATAATAAAATAAATAACATATTATTTTAATTATATTTATCAATAATAATGTTATATTTTTAATAAATACAATAAAAAAATATGGTTAATGCTTCAGATTTGTACATGCAAAACAAACTGGTTTAAGTACCGTGGAGCTGTTCGATTAACCCGTTTGACCATCTATACAATTGTAAAGGATAAATCCAACCAATTATAATCAATCTTTAGTTCTGTTGTAGATACTGGTCCAAACCAACACCGATTCAAGCATGTTTATGGTTAGGAACAAGACTAGTTGGGACCCAGACTAGTTGGAAGTGGTTTGCTCATCTATCCCACTACATGTGGTAGGAAAAGAAACCTGAAAAAAGAAAGAACTAAAAAACTTATCCAAACCGTTGGATTAAAAATGATACCAAAGACATGATTAAAAATTACAATATTTTATTTATTCTTTATATTGAAAAACAGCAAAATACAGGAGAAAAAAAATAGGAGCAAAGCAAATTACACCAAATAAAAAACAATCACGTAATTATTTTTAATTTGACTTTTATTTTGATATATTTTTTCATCTGTTTTTTTGAAATTCTTTTGGAATCTTTTTTCTATAATATATATAATCAAATAAAACCCCCAAATGATATCGTTTCATGTGATTTTTCTTAAAGACAATAATTTAATATATTGGTTAATATATATTTGTTTTATACGTATTCGGTCATGACGTGAAACTATTTTTAATACATCACAAGCACATAAAAAATATTCATATTTTGAAACAAATATATGTCAATCAATACCTAAATTCAGTTATAGAAATGAAAAAAATCATATAAAATAACACATGATATACTATGATTCAAGTTATCTCAAATTTATGGTTCTCAAATGAAGTCCCCTATGTGTGTGCATATATATATATATATATATATATATATATATATATAATGTATTGGATCGAGTTCAAACAAGAACATAATTATAAGGGAAAAGTACAATAAAAACCAATGAACTTTCTTGTTTGGAATGATTAAGTCCTTGAACTTTTTTTTGGAACAAATAAGTCCTTGAACTTTCCAAAACATGTTAAATAAGTCCTTGGACAATTTTTTGGCACAAATAAGTCCTTGGACATTCCAAAATATGTTAAATAAGTCCTTAAACATTCCAAAAAATGTTAAATAAGTCCTTGGACAATTTTTGGAACAAATAAGTCCTTGAACAATCCAAAACATGTTAAATAACTTCTTGAACTTTTATAAAACATGTTGGATACATTCTAATGACTTGTACAACTAGTTAAAATGGTAATTATTTTTTTGTAAATGTAAGTACTTTTTTGTTATATTTGTTTAATTTTATAGATCTAAATACTTTTTGGTTCAAAAAATATTTAGGGGCTTAATCGTTCAAAATATGAATGTTCATTGGGTTTTTTTCCGGATTTTTTTCACTATTTTACCACTTTATTTTTTTCAAAAAGTTATTTAACATGTTTTGGATTGTTCAAGGACTTATTTGTTCCAAAAATTGTCCAATGACTTATTTAACATTTTTTGAAATGTCCAATGACTTATTTGTTCCAAAAATTGTCCAATGACTTATTTAACATATTTTGGAATGTTCAAGGACTTATTTAACATGTTTTGGAAAGTTCAAGGACTTATTTGTTCCAAAAAAAAGTTCAAGGACTTATTTGTTCCAAAAAAAAGTTCAAGGACTTAATCATTCCAAACAATAAAGTTCATTGGTTTTTATTGTACTTTTCCCAAATAAAAGAATACAAGTTCGCACTCTTAAGGCACCAGGCCAAGAACATGTAAGCTCGCCCATGCGTTAGACCAAACCCAAATCAGATGCAACTTTTAGTGATTAAAAATCACATGGTAATACAGGTGTTCTCTTGTTATCTTATTTTAACCATGCTCTCGTCTGAACCACTCTCTTTCCCATACATACATACATATATATGTATATATATATATATATGTGTGTATATATATATATATATGTGTGTATGTGTGTGTGTATATTCCTATCTAGAAGGACAAGTTCTCAAAGTGAGAAAAAAGAAGGCATGATAAGACTTTAAACTGTTACATAAAACAAGAAATGAGAATAGTTTAGACTTAAGAGAGTACAAAAATGCATTGAGAACGAAATTTGATACATATATTAAGATAGTTGTAGGAAAAGAAAGATCAAAGCCTCTTTAATGCAATCCAGGCCCATCACACCGAATTTCCATACTTCCTCTCTAGATCAGAAGCTTCTCAATCGCATCCTGATTTTATCATTCAAAAACACATCAGAACCCACAAAAAATGGCATAGAATCGCAGACAAAAAGAGCAGTTAACAGGCATGGAAACAACCTTGAGTTGCTGTATTTGAGACCTCAATTGGCTGCCTTCATTGCTGGTCACCGAACATGCAATTACAGGCCTTGTGACACCAGTCGCTCGCCCTAGCGCTTGCTTTGAGGGCACAAAAACATATGGTACGTTCTGCCAAAAAGATCAAGAATTTTCCGTTTTTGTTACAAATGCAAAAGCAACAAGATAAGCCATTATCACCCGAAGAGATCAACGTTTGGTGTATCCTCAAAGAAAAAGATTAACATACAAAGATGCTAGATTACAAGTTTATAAACAAAATGCAAACGGAGCTGAATAGGACCAGACAGGGTTAAGGTAGACCGGGGCAAAGAATTGTGAAAGATTTTAGGGTCTTGTCTACCTCAATTTTGTTCAACACATTAGTGAAACAGAAGAAAGCCCACTCGGGTTATGTCCTGTCTCAGTCAATGACAAGATTGTGTATGGTTGCTTGGAACTGACAGGCGTACACAGTCGGACCATAAACAAGTACGAAATCTTGATAAATAACTCATTGATTTTGTGAATCAAATGCTTAACAAGAAGGAAATCATAATGAATAATTCAAGAAATCTTTAAATACCTTATCTTCAGCAAGGAGGGGAAGATGAAGAATAATTTCAAGAGGCTCAGCATCTGCTGCCATCACTACAAACTCAGATATACCCCTGTTAAGGGTCTTTGTAGCTGTAAATTAAAAATTAGAGCCAAAACAACCAACATCAATACATACCCATCTCAAGTTCCAGTTATTAAAAAACTTTGCCTATTTTCAAGATCCAAAAATCACTAAATTAACAAACTTTTGCCGAGAAAAAAGATAAATAAAAGCAATAGTTTAGTTAGCTTTCACTGATTAAATGGCATGCAAACTTGACACAGTATATATATGGGGAAAGATCTGGAGAGAACCCTGGAAAAAGAACCGAACAACCACCTTTTTAACCATATCCATTGGATCATCCCATTTTAATGGTTTGGATGGGTTTTTCGGTTCTTTTCCTTTTCAGGGTACTCTCATCTCACCCCTATATGTGTGTGTGTCCTCCAAAATCTCACTAATTTAATTAATCTTCAACAAAAAATATCAAAACTCGCGTACTCGCAACAATTAACATGCTTATTTGCCAAAAATACATGAAGTTTGTAGATCCAACACCTTAGGATTAGCTCTTTTCCAAATTTTTAGCTTTTGTGTTCAAATAACAGCAAATTCAACTTAAATTCATCCAACCAATAACAATAAGAGCGCTGCTTCAAAGTAACATATTACCCTTTTATTTCTTTACGATTTCATCTAAATAAATCTACATAAATTTGCATAAAAACAGAGTCAACTGCAAAAGGCTCATCTCACCTTGCACTGATAAAGCCATAAAGGTTGCTTATTACTACACTAATTAACTTTCACCATCTCAAAGAAACATATTCATATGGCTACAATCTCTTGATATGTATGCAAAAACTTGTGAAAAACAAAATCAATCGACGTTGACAAGTAACTATAAACTTTGACTTATATACAAACTACAAATACTCATACAAATCAATTTGAAACACAAAGAACTATACCCATATGACTATAATCTCCAAAAACATATTTAAACTTCATTAAACGATTAAAAAAAAAACTAGGGTTTATAAGGGGGTTAACGATTATACCTTCATTAGCACCCTTTTTAAGCTGCTTGTAATTAGCGGCTTGTTGAACAAGATCCAATATCGTTATCGTAAGCTGAGCATCAGCCAGTGGGTACGCTTTTGGATTCACAGCTTCTCCTGTCTGCAAACAAGAAAATCAACAATTTTCAGAAACCAAATACGAACTTTTTACAGATTGATATACGAAAGATTGGCATCGAAACAGCAAATTTTCAAAGGAAAAAAGGGAAGAAAGCAAAAGGGTACCATTTTTGTACGGCGGATTGAAGCCTCTTTGTGTGAGAGAAGAAGAAGCAGGGAGGCTAGGGTTTTACCTAAATGAATAAGAGAACGAAGGCAGGGTTTAAAGAGGAAGCTACTAGGCCGAAAGGGCTTTTTAGTCTTTTGGACAACGACGTCGTTTTTTAGCTTCACCAAGATGCCAACAACTTCTCCCCTTTTGGAATTAATACTAAAATAAAATTTAATAATTACTACATTAAAAGAAATGTTTATATTTTATGGAATTGAATTTGTGTTTATTTAAAATTAAAAGTCGACCAATGAAAATGATGGATTTATTTATGAAAACATGATGTAAAATATTAAAAACCAAAAAATATATAAATAAATATGGAAATATATATATATAAAGATTTGTAATACTGGCTATTTTCAAACACCAAAACTTTAATTTAGAGACAAATCAGCAGTACAAAACCCTAATATGTTTTTCCACTTTATACAAGAAATTGGGAAGATCTGATCATATTTTATATCGGATCTTGTCATTTAAGGGGTGTTTGGGATTATTTATTTGAAACAACTTATGTTTTTTTTACAAAAGTGTTTATCAACTTATTATAAGTTAGAATTGTTTAACTTCCTAAAAAACTTCTTATTACCGGTTTGACACCATTATAAGCTGTTTATCCAAACACTCAAAAAGTGCTTATTACCGGTGTCACACTGGAATAAGTCAATAAGTTGTTTTTATAAGCAATCACAAACACCCAATTAACTTTTTTTTTATTTGCATCCCAATTCTTATCGATTATAGCACAAGATCAGATACTATGTATCTTGTGCATACATAGGTTGTAGGTGAAGACACTGAAGGATAGCCAAAATACAAAAAATACGATAGAAAAAAGTGATTAAGAGGCTTATGATTTTGAAATTCTAGAAACATCTTGAAAAGGATGAATATGTCATATAAGATAATGTTTGGCAATTATAAAAAAACCAGTTTATCTTTTGAGCATATTGTAAAAGACTTGTCTGATTGGCCATAAGTTGGTTTTTTTTTAAACTGATTCAAGTAGATTTCAACAAGTTTTACCAGGTTTTCTCCATTTTTTTCCAATTAATTTTTCAACTATGTCCATTTGATCTTGTCAACTAATTTTTACCAAAACATGATTTGTTTATCAGCTAACACCTAACTTATTCATCAAAAACTAACTTATCAGTTAGTTTTTCAAACACAGTTTAAAATATTGAATTTTTTTTAAAATGATCGATATTTCATATTTTAAGCTATTAAAACCTTGAACATTTTTTTAAACAAATAAACCCTACAATTACTGAAATCAAACAAAACGATCCTATGACCTATAAAAAAGATTGGAAATCAATTGTTGTGGTAAAAATTAATTGGGGAATAACCCAACAGACTTTCATATCTTAAATGATTAAGTTAAAAATGCACAAAACTCAATATATTTTTCATATCTTGAGTGATTAAGTTAAAAGGTTCTCAAACCCCAACCAAACTTTGTTGGTGATTTTAGTGTCTCCAAAACATTTAAGTGTAATTGAAAGTAACATCGAGTTTTAAGGGGGGCTTTATACTGTGTTCTAACACAAGTCAAGAGGTGTGAAGTGCACACTTGTTATAAGACGAGTATGACCCTATTAGGAGTTAAGGAGAAGCACCCTTTGCATTGTGGTGAAAATTTAATCATAAGGACCAGAGGGGTTCTGGTTGGCCTTAACTCTAGTTGTTAAGGATGACCTTGAGTCTAGTTGTTAAAGGACCAGAGGCTCTGGTCCCTTGCCTCTGGTTGTTAAGGTCCAGAGGATTTTTGGTCTGCCTTGCATCTGGTTGTTAAGGACCAGAGGCTTTGGTTCCTTGTCTTTGGTTGTTAAGGATCAGAGGCTTTGGTTCCTTGCTTATGATTGCTAAGACTTGCCTCTAGTTGGTAAGACTAGAGGGGCTTTGATTTCTTGCTTATGATTGCTAAGACTTGGCTCTGGTTGGTAAGATCAGAGGGGGTCTGGTCCTTAAAGGTGGGAGGGCTCTGATCCTTACAGACGGGAGGGGCACTGGTTCGTCTTGTCTCTGGCTTCATGTCTAAATGGTTAGAACAGTTTTGTAACTATTCACTACCATTAATGAACAGTTTTTGTAACTGTCCACTATTTTTAATGTGCAATTTTATTACTGTCTACTACTCCTAAATTTGAGTCATGATTGTCATTTCGGTTATTTTTTATGAGCATAAATACCTTTTATGCTTATGTTTTTAGATACGGGTTTTTTGAACAATCCTCTCACACTCTACAACAAGTTTGCTCTCGTTTTTGTGCCTAAAAGCGAAAATGCTCTCTTGAGTCTTATCCCATATTGAATTTCGTGTAACCCAGATATGTCGAAATATCAATTCGGAAAGTGATCTCTTACACGATTATCAAGTAATCCAGTTCTTGATCGATCAACCCTTTTCTAGTTCTATACTTTCCCCTAACAAACCAACCCAAAACAACTCCACCCAAAGCTTACTAATACTTAAACGAGTTGCAATATCCCTAAATCATAGGTATTGAATTAGGCTCATCTGAAACGAACGCTACTCGATGAAATCGATGCCCCTTTTACTCTTTTACATCTCTTCGATTGTTTTGTTCCCACTTTACAATCAACTATTATAAAGTTTTCATTTTTATGTAATTTCTTTAATTTATTTTTTTATTATAATTTAATTTAAGTTTAATAATAAAATAATTTATTTTTGGTTTAATAATATAAATTTTATAAAAATAATAATTATGTATTATGTTAAAACTCAATAGTTATCCTAATTATATTTTAGATTTTTTATATTTAAAATAAATGTTTATCCTGTATTTGATTATGTTTATCTGCAGTTAATTACACAAATTCAGACATGGAGCTTTAATAAGTTGTACTTACGCACAACCAACTTGCAATCTTGAATTTTAAGTAATATGCATTAATAAACAGTACTTTACGCATAAAAATGGTTTTAAGAGTTTTTGTCAAATGCTTTATAATATAATATAGATATGGTTATGAGCCTGGTAATTCTCTGGAGTGAAGTTTCACAGTCATCTGGAAAGTGCCCACGTCGAAACGATCCAAATGGTCGAGGGGATCATATACGTATATACAAGCCCACAATGTATATAAAGGTTGTATTAATAGATATTTCTTACGATACAGTTACATTATATCGTGCGAAAGTTGTACAAAAGAAATTGTTCTCACCGAAGCCCAACACAGCAATCCAGGTTTCTTTTTGTCTATTTTTCTCAACTGGTTTGAGCTTCAAGAAATGATGATATGGGGTTTTGATTACCAGTTCCAGGTACCCAACAAGAGTTCATGATTCTTGAATGTACTGCACTAATAAACTAACTGTTGGCTGATACGTTGACCGTTGAAAATCAAACAAAGCAATTTCTCATCGCTGTTTGAAAGTAAATTAGATCGTGTAAAGAAGACTTTTATGGAATATAAACACCAGTATTAAATCACATAGAACTCGTAAGAATCCTAAAACATAGTTTTCACTGTCAAAAAAGGCACAAAAAAAAACCAAAAGATTCAGCTAGAAAAAACTAGATGATCTTGGAGTATAACTTGGGTGCAAAAAGCAGCAAACTTTCCTAGAAAAACTCCACAATCCCACATCTCATTCAGCCCAACCTCAGACCTCCAACATGAAATTGTCATCAAAACAATCTGCAAGAAGAATCAAGATCTAAACTTTATACTCATATATATATATATATATATAGTGTGTTAATCTTGAAATATGCAACTAGATCCAGGCTATATTCATGTGATATGCTAGCAGATATAGTCGCATCGATGCATTTGTGGTCAGACTGTTAAAATTTCTTGAATCAGTGGCCACAGACATGCAAAAGCAGAAATCTAAATGCATAGACGGAAGAAGAAGACTAGCCCTTGGCTAAAATGAACAAGATTGCAAGTGATTATTTCATTGCACTACAAATCTACAACAAAATCGATTCTATAGGATGCCGACAATGTTTAACTGTTCTAATAAACTGTTTTATATGACTTGAGTTTATAGCACCAAACAGTTGAGCGTCATATGTAAAAGGGTTATAATAGATAGTTACACACAACAGAGTATCTTAACAGACTTTTTAGGGCACTTTTGAAATAAAATGTCTAATAAAACACGTCTTTTGAAATAAAATGGTCTATTAGAACATTTGAACATATTTGGCGTCCTATGAAGCCGATTTTGTTGTAGTGTTGTATATTAGAAACTTATTAAGCAAGTAATTGCAATACCAACAATCCCATACCAAAATTAATCAAGATCTGGACACTTATTGTCATGGATTCTACTAATCGTATGCATTGATTCAACTGATTTTATCATAAAAAACATAAGAAATGACAGATCAAAATTTCAAAGAGGAAATGGACCTTTGATGAAGGCATCAATCAAGTAAGGGCTTTGAATTGCTTCAACATATCACAATTTGGTGTTTCTTGCTGATATCCCCAGTGTATCCGTTGCATCTCAAGCCGACAATTGTGAGAAAGAATCGAAACGTACTCATGTTCGATCTTTTCTTCAAGTTGTGATCTTTCTGGGCTATTTAATGGATAATCCTGCTCAAAGTTGGCAGATTTCACAAAGAAAACAATACCTTTTTGCGTACTCAAACGGTGCTCGTATCCATAACTCCTAGAAAGCGAATAAATTGGCTCATTTGATGGCAAAAAGTTCAACAACAGAATCAAAAGCACAGGCAACAACTGGATCAAAGTCCTTATCCCTGCTGAGCCGTTACCAGCCGGTGCACCCATGCCTGGTCCAAAACGAAAACCAGTGAACTGGGTGGTCGCAGCCGGGTTCATTCCACCAAAAAAGAAGTTCCTAAAGATCTCGTCAGCATCAACATCACCATCATAATAGAACCCATTACTGAACCCATGGTGGTGTGCACCACGGCTAGCCGTCCTCCTTTCGTAAACCGGCTCATCAGACCCAACAAGATCATACTGTTTTCGATTCTCGTCGACACTTAAACACTGGAAAGCTTTCGATACTTTCTTGAATGCTTCTTCGGATCCCGGAGCTTTGTTCTTGTCTGGGTGAACCCTTAAAGACAATTTCCGGTAAGATTTCCTAACATCCTCAACACTGCATGCCTTTTCCAAACCTAATATCTCGTAGTAATCCTTTTTCCTTCTGATTTCCCTCACGATTGTCACCTGTTCCTCCGTGTAAACTCCTGAACCAGATGAAGATCCGGTTGCCGGAACCCTATGCCGTATACCGGAACTGTCCCCTGCACCTGTCTCCGATGGCTTCGATGAAGACGAAGCGGAAGGCGATTCGTTGCCCGTATTATCGCCTTCTAGCTTCGATAACAGATCGTCAACGGGAAGTGAAGGATCTAATCGATGAGCTTTCGATATGAATTTTAGGGCACGAGCTCGATCGCCCAACCCTAATGCATCTTTGCCGATTTTTAAGCATCTCAGGGCATCATCTTTGTTTCCATCCATCTCAAAAGATTCAAACTTTTATGCGAATTTCAACTTTGTGAATCCTAAAAACAACGTGTATGATCAAAATCAAACTAAAAATACGTGGGAAGCTATCTTACCACGAATTGATCAAGAAAACCCCCATATTCCAGCAAAGCAGCAATTCGGAACCGCGAGAGATGAAATTAGGCTTGATTCATGACAAAATTGATTGGGGTTTTAGCAATTAAACGATTGGATACAAGAATCGAGAGAAAAGTTGCAGGAAATTGGAAGAGAAATTAGGAAATTTCTCATCCTCTGTAGAAAAAAGAGGGTGAATTTTGACCGATTGGTGGAATATATTAGTAATCTTTTTAAATCTTTTTTTTTTTAATTTGAGATATCGAAATATATTTTATTTTTAATTAAAAAATATAATCAATAAAATATTTTTTATTTTTAATCAAAATATATTTCATCAATAATCTATATTAATATTATAAAACATTTGACAAAAATTCTTAAAAACCATTTTTTATGCATAAAATACTGCTTATTAATGCATGTTACTTAAAACTCAATATTACAAGTAAATTGTGCGTAAGTACAACTTATTAAAACTCCGTATCTGAATTTGTGTAACTAACTGCAGATAAACATGATCAAATACAGGATAAACATCTTATTTTAAATATAAAAAAATCTAAAATATAATTAGGATAATCATTGAGTTCTAATAGAGTACTTAACTATTATTTTTATAAAATGTTATATTATTAAATTAAAAATAAATTATTTCATTATTAAACTTAAATTTAATTATAATTAAAAAAAATAAAGAAATTACATAAAATGAGAACTTTTAAATAGTTGATTTAATATTAACATCGATATATTTTTTTCAAATTTTTATGATATCTTCAAATTTATATTTTTCTCAAAAATAAAATCATTATTGCTTTATTAAAACACATAAAATCGTATTATAACATCGATAGAGACAAAAAATAAAATAGAACATTAAAATCGAGATGTATCTCGTTGCATTGCGCGAGTACCTTTCTAGTTTTTTTTTTTAAATGTAGATACTTTTTTAATATATTTGTTTCATTTTATATATGTAAGTAACTTTTTGGTTCAAAAAATGTTTAGAGACTTAATCGTTGAAAATATGAAAATTCATTGAATTTTTTTTCCAGGTTTTTTCCCTTATTTTATCACATTAATCAATTTTATAGGTCATAAAAATGTATCTAACAGGTTTTAAAAAGTCCAAGGATTTATTTAACAGGTTTTAGAAAATTCTTTATTACCGTTTTAGCATCGATATAAGTTGTTATTTAAATATTTAAAAGTGCTTATTATTGGTATCACATCGAAATAAGTCAATAAGTTATTTTTATAAGTAATCTCGAACACCCCCTAAATATTGATTTATCAAGGACCGGCGGGTGTTGGATGATTCAAAGAAGCATTGTCATAGTTAAGAATCACGATTTTACTACGGTGGGACACTTTATTTACCTTCTAGTAGTTTCTCTAAATTTTTAATAGGAGTCTTGTTTGGTATTTTTTTTTTACCTTTTAATAGTTGTAAAACTCTTTGAATGGTTTTGTATTTTGGGTCTCCTTTAATCATTCAGCATCATAATTTCATTCTGAATAATTATCAAACAATTATATTTCATTTTACACTATAATATAAGAGCCTCTAGCTATCATTCTAACAACTTAATCAGTCTACACCAAACTATTCAATAACTGTCAAACAGTTCATATATGTTTTTTTTTTAATTTTTGAATTCAGTTTTAAAGGAAAAAGTATTCAATAATTTAGGGGTGTTCACTATGTAATTTGGTATAGTTTAGGACTAAATCGAATCATATATGTGATTTGAGCATTTTTTTTTTCAAAATGCAAATTATTATCGTATGCCTCAAATGAGAAAAAAAATATTTGAATCTGTGAAATGTGATGTGGTACCGTTTATAAATAGTTTGTATCTGACGTATTTCAATCAAATAAGTATGAAATCATAATTTTAGAATAAATTCGATGATAATGTGTTTATACAGTTAAAAGTTATAATTTATATCTATACTATATTATAAAGCATTTGCCTAAAACTCTTAAACTTGTTCATCCCTAAACAATTTCATC